AGTCGACATTCAGTATTATTTTATGTTAGTTTCAGGTATACAGCCTAGTGCTTAGACATTTATATAATTTACAGAGTGATTCCTCCTGATTAGTCTAGTACCTACCTGGTACCATATATAGTTATTACTATATTATTGACTATATTCCCTAAAGCATAATTATTTAAATGACAGAGGTAGTTTTATGACAAACTAGTATATTATAAACTGATAACCATAGTATAAAAAAAATTGGAAAACAGAACTAAAAAAATCACCCACAATTTCAATGCCCTAATGCAACTTTTACTATTATTTTAGTGAACATTTTCGGATTATTTTCACCTGAATATATTTTGACTAATAACTTTTTACAGCATTATACATAGACACATATAAATGTATTATTACAAAGTGAACACATCCTGTAATGCCATCCAGAGAAAGAACATTAACAGCACCCTAGAATCCACATGTTTGTCTTCCTCTTCGTCCTCCTCTCCTCAAAGGAATTACTGCCCCACCTTCTAAAGCCAGAGGTTGTCTGTTTTTAAATTTTATGTTTTCCTGCTCTGCTCTGTATCACAGGGAATCACATTTCCCAGGCTCCTTTGCTAACTGCTTCTGTAACGTTTATCCAAATGGGAAGCGATGGCAAAGATCGGAGGGTGGAAGGAAAGAAGCAGCCAAGGTATTTTTCTCTTTCTCATTCTGCTTCAGGTGATCTCTCAACAGTCACTGTGCCTTCTCTGTGGCTCCAGCTCCTACTGGACGCCTCTCTCCTGTGTAGTCCCAGACCTTGCTGCATGACCTTGGCCTCTAGGCTCTGATAAGAGGTCTCCATCCCAGTGTCTTTACTAATACCCGGGCTGCTACCCTATGGCTGAGAGTCTTCTCAGTGCCTTCATCACCTATGTAACCAATTCTTTAAAGTCCTTTTGTTCATAGGTCTTAGAGTGGTTTCCAGTTCTTGAATGAACCCTATTATTATACTCTACAAAATACATTTTCTGACCAAGGTATATTATTAAGAACATGTTACATAGTTATTCTGAAAAGAGATCCAAAAAGAGGAATGCAATAAGGTGGAGGTTAATTTTAATACTTGAGAAGGCTGTGGGTTGATTTTCATTCTATTATAAACCTCAGAAGCCCCAAATCGATGTTTGCCAAATAGGAAAAAAAAAGAAATACATCGGTATTTAGGGGAAGGAAATGTTATTTTTAAGAATCTAAGCTACATATTTAAAACAATAGAATTGCTTCAAAAAAAAAAAACCTTAAGAAAATAGAAAAATAGGCCAGTTTCCTCCGAAATACTGCAAATATATATGGGGCACCTTCTATGTGCTAAGTAAGTATTATGAAGCATACAAAGATAAATAAGACAAAAATAATTCAAAAGATAGAACATAGGAAGAAAAAACTGTACACGTCTGAAGATGAAGTCCATGTGTAAGACCACCCTTTACTTCAGTTAAATTTAACTAGAATTTATGTAACACCTATTTTGTTTTATCATGGAATCAGAACACAGATTTAATATTAGAATACTAGTGATATAATACTGATTTC